TACATACAGGTGTACTGTACGCATTTTAGTTCACACAAACACACCCATATAACAATCCAAGTTGAGGCACATATACACACTATGTCGAAAGTACACATCGGCCGATGTTGAATTGTCCTCTCTAAAAGCTGGAATGTTTACTCTAAGTTTAGTAACGGAACGCAACCTTTTTACGTAATAAGAAATAATATAGGATAATATATAAAATCGATTGATTGCTTATAAGCTGTGCACAATGAGAAACACTTAGAATACATAATGCTCAGTGCAAATGAACGGGATCCAGGTATATGTTAAAACAAGGCCCAATGAATAAAAGCGTTGATTGAAGTAATCCAAATGTGACTTGACCCAAAGAGCTGTGAGTTCAATACCTGGTCATGGCAGAGGTGAACTGAAACAAAAGGGAAGTAACTGAAAACTGCGATATCCAGCAAAGGCATGACATGTGGAACTAGAACAGTATATCACCGTGGATTAAATAAAAGAAGGCCGGAGCTTACAACAGCCGAAACGTCGTGAATATGACAATGAAGATGAGGACAACTATCCAAACAATGTAAATGGTGTAAATAAAACAAATATATTCTCTTTTATCGACACTTATCTTTTATCGACCATATTATTGGCTTGGCCATGAATCTTCGATTAACATAATTCAGTAAACAATAATGTTTACTATTTTTACTGCAAATTTTCAAAAACAAAAAACATGTGTATAAATTCATCATGTTTAGGTTTTATTACAATTCTAATAACGGATTTTTAAAATAATAAACATTGCCGAGGAGTGAAGGTAGTTAAAATAATAGCGGTGTCACGGGAAAAACCGTCCTTTTGACTTTTTTGCGGTCACGAATGTCTAATTTACCAAACAGTTAATATGTACTATAGATACGTGCAGTAAGATTAATTTATTTTTTCCTGGTGGATTCTGCGCTGTAACCTGAGTGACGTATTGGGATGTCCAAGGACAAATTCTAAAGACTTGGGAGAGTACTAGGAGGATTTCTTTGGTAACAAAAGTAACAAAGAATACTGAGTTATTACGTGATATCTGTCCTTCGTTACGGTAGCGAATGTTGGACGATTTCCTCAAAGATGAAGAAGAGACTCGAGGCGACAAAGATGTGGTTCTACAGAAGGATGCTAAGGATACCATAGACCGAGCGTGTGAGCAACGATGAGGTCTTAGAGAGGATGCAAACAAGGAGGAGGTTTATACTTAATATCCGGAAGAAGTTTCTGGAAAACATAATGAGGAAGGAGTGCCTGGAGAATCTAATACTCACGGGTCGAATAGAGGGAAAGAGAGACAGGGGAAAATAACGCGTGACGTACCTGGAGGACTTAAGCAAGTGGATGGCAGAACGCGGTCTGGGGGAGGAAGCAGAGGGAAGGAACTTATTGAGAGCTGCAAAGGACAGAGGGAGGTGGAGACCTATGATTGCCTACGTCCTGAAAGGACAAGGCACATACAAAGACAGAAAGAACCTGAGTAACAATAAACTGACACAGACGCAGAACATCTCCATTACTGAGTCTCAAAGACCGAACCAGGATGTCAAAGATGTGTAGTAGAAAACAACAGGTAATAGAAAGACAAGGTTGACAATACCTAAAGGCTTTGGCGTGTATTTGCTTTTGCCTGCGACTTCTGTACCCATAATCTATTTTTTTAAATTCATTTTGGCTTCGAGTTTTTTCAAATATTTTTTGGCTTAGAATGGTAATTGACGGGAATGGTGGCAAACGGATATAGGAAAGTCTGTTGTATTCAACAAATATATATTTATATATATATATATATATATATATATATATATATATATATATATATGTGTGTGTGTCAATCGCATAGAAGCCTATTTTGCAGTATCACAGTTCATCTGTACGACTAGACAAGGGTATGCTTTAAGTGAGGATCGAAACCCGACCGTTTTGTTAACAGTCGGATAGTACCACTAAGTTATATGTGCTTCGGCAGAGCGGAAGACTAATTCTAGCGTATCGCTTTTACGAATGTAAACAAACGCCAGACAGCCAGAGTGCTCCATTCATTAATGAAGAGTGATGTGTTTTATATATATATATATATATATATATATATATATATATATATATATATATATATATATATATATATATATAAAACTCTGTAGGTCATTTTAATTTTCCTAAAATAAACGATGTCCAAATTCTGCGATGGAGAACTCGAAAGTCTGTAAATAATTGCATTTGAGTATGTTGAGTATAGTGAGTATCAAGGTTGGGACATTTGCATGCTGCTTTAAATAAACACCTATGCAGCTCTTGTCTAAGAGAGATCGGGTCAGACGTGTTGATAAGCGAGCGGTGGCGTGTCCGACATGATTATTTATGAATTTGTTTTCGTCGCGAACGCAGTTCCCTGCGGGCTATTTGATTTCCCTATGGGATATTTAAATTCCCTGTAGGGCATTTATTATCTTCGCGAACGCAGTTCCCAGTTGTTTATTTGAATTCAGAAATAATGTTGTCGGTGAGCTTTTATTGTTGATGATAAGTTTGATATTTCTTTTCATCGTTTCACACAAGAAAGGCAATAAAGCCACTAAAACGGAAGAGGTGAAAGAACAATAAAAAGTACAGGAATCATAAAGACAAAAGATGACGATTGACTTGATGTACTTGATAGGAAAGCAAGAAAGAGAGAATAAACAATTTGAATATAAATTAGCGCTACTTTTAACAATTTAGACATGATGGGACCAAGCTATCAATCTAGTACTCACAAAGTCGAGATACCAAAGATGATAGCACATGAGAACAATTACCGTGAGAATACTTGTAGAAGACGCAGAGGGACGCTACGTTACGGCGGTGGGAAGGTGATTGAAGCTGAGATGCCAGGTCGGAACCGATAATATTGCGGATTACTCAGTGTTTCTTCGTTTTAAAGAATCTCAAGATACATAGCCGAAACAGTAATCCTGACGTGGTAACAAGATTCAATGTATGTACGAATGGTAGATTTATAATAGTGCAAAACAGCTCCTGTTTTTGAAACATGAGAACCTTTATGTACAGATGGAATCATATGTTTTAAAAATATATATATATATATATATATATATATCAATTGACTCTAGATCTGAAGAGGTGAATATTGTGGGAGCATCCTCTCTGGAGATTGGTACACAAAACAGCGGTTCTTGGGAAGAAGCTGTTCAAATGGATGTTCTTTATATATATATATATATGTGTGGGGGGGGTGTAGACTTTGTAAGCGTATACCAAAGAGCCAATTAATCGTAAATGATATAGGGCTATAGCAGTTATTCATTGTTAGCCTGTAAAGGCAGTGCTCGGAGCAGCCTCGTTCTTGCTATGTTTGAAATGAGTTCAAAATTAATTAGGGTCCTAGCAATTAAGAACTGAAACTATTTTTATGCATAACAACGTATCTTGTAAATCATGACTGCTGTCGTGAGTTCGATCGTTGCCAGCTACTTAACATTTGCAGCCTTATACTAGCTTCAGCTAAGAATAATACCCAGGGTGTTAGAAATGAGCAATGACTAATATCCAGTCTCTCGAACTAAATTACTAAAGTACTCGGCTCGATGGCCGATATACATAGCTTTACGTTTGACTTATTAACCCTTCGGCTGCTGCTGACATACTTATACATCATTGAGAAACTAAAACTTCCTGTTGTCGACATCTATGTACGTTTACAAGCCACCGTTGTTCCGTGGTTCTTGCTTTCATAATTTAAACTTATTGGCGCTTGGAACTATTTCCAAACTAACGTAGATATTCATTAGCGTTCATTAGAACTTCTTTTGTGACGTGCTTTTATTTTATAGGTTGATGGGTGTCGTTTAGTTTTGATCTTCAAGGCGTCCTATCGAAAACAAAATGGCGGCGTCCAACAAATATCGCTGTCTTTAGATTCATTTCCTTCCACTAAATAGCAATTTCCTATTTTTCCTGAAAATGGGCCAGCACAACCAGAAAACAGTGATATAACAATACAGCTGTGAAAGTATAGCTTAGTCTGTACTGCAAGGCGTCCTATAGAAAATAAAATGTCGACGCACATGTGAAATCTCAGTCATCGTTATTTAGTTCAGTAAATAGCAATTTCGTATTTTCCTCAAGGCGAACCAACGCAGCCAGGAACAGTTCTATAACAATACAGATGTGAAAGTATAGCTTAATCTGTACAGCAAAATGTCCTGTTGAAAAGAAAATGGCGCGCTCATTAGAAATTGCCGATAACGTCTTTATAGTTATTTATTTCCATTAAATGGCAATTTACCTTTTTTTCCCAATACGGACCAGCACAGTCAGGAAACATTGCTATAATAATGCTGTCGTGAAAGTATGTATATTTCTAGCGTAATTATTACTTGTATATGAATACAAAAACTGAAGAGTAGAAAAAAATAAACACCCACTATCAATATTGCACAAGGCATTTCTCTCTTAGAGAGTAGAGTAAACATTTGACCTGGGTTTCCCCTAGGGTTACCTGGGGTTTTCCTTCCGGATTCTTCCGGAGGGATTAGCAAAGGAGGAAAATGTTTTTCCCGTCGGAGTAGATGCTGTGGTTGTAGTATCTGTTCCGTGTCGGAGGCCTTATCTCCTCCCTTGCGTCCCCCACCACCGTTGCGTAACATCTGTTACATAGCGGTGGTATGACCGGCTATAACTAGCGTACACTAGTTTTGACCAGCTTAGAAAAGCTTAGACCAGCGACCCCAGTGAAAACACTCGGGTTCCAACGTTAAAAAAACGATCTTATGTCACAACCTGACTTAGTGGTGGTGGTGAGGGGTCAAGGTAAATCTTGAGTAACCACTTGACCATATTCATGAGGTTCAAGTCCTTGATCTCTTTCGTGAGGTTCAAGTCCACGAGTTTTATCCCCAGCTGTATCGTTAATATGTAAAAATAAAAATATAAAAATAGAATGTACCACTCAGGTTTTACACTGAACGACCGATATTTAGTCACTCTGGGGATGGAGAAGGATTTAGTGCAAGTGTCTCATTTGAATCAAACAGAAAAAGACGAAAAACGACACCCATAGAAAGAAAAAAAGCAGAAATCGGAGACGAAGGCGCATGCGCTGTGAAGGCAGGCAGCTGATCCATGACGTCATCAACAACTCTGACTCGTACAGAGGAGAAATTGATGGATTTGTAGCCGGATTTATGATTCCGAAACTGCTGTTGCCGCTACAATACACCATGCGCCAAATTCTAAAAAAGAATCTAACCGTCTGTCTGTCTATCGAATTCTATCTGCGTCTATTCTGACAAGATGATCAAGCTAGTTGTCTCACCAATCCAAAAATTACCGCATCGTAAGTTTAGTCATTTTTGTATGTAAGTGTGCGTTCTCAAGAACATCGCGCATGCGTGGGTATATATAGGCGCCTACGGTTGAGTATTTGTCGCCATTTAATAAACTTAGTCGAGTATCGCATTTGTTGCAGATCTAAGTCAAGATCAAATTCACTACAATCCCCGATAGAAGCTGTTATTTAAAAAGCTTAACCTCGTATTACATAAGCTCACATGTATGCGGTATGGGACTCCCAGTGACAATCAAATATTTTTCCTTTATTCTTCTCTTTCATTTCACCCCAAACAAGGCAATAAACCCACTAAGACGCAAGGAGTTACGGAGTGTTAGTGTTTGGTTAGGTTTGGTTTAGTTTACGCATATCAACACACTGGATCATTTAATGCCGAAATTTAATGATTTTTTTTCTAAATAAATCCTTGTATATCTATAGTTAAAAATGTTCTTTTAAACAGTAAGACTGCTGTTAGTTATGGTGATATTTTAATTTTATTTTTGGAATCAATTTAATTTATCTTCTGCGAATATAGAATATGTAAAGTGAATTACTACTTAGAAAAAGATTAATTTATGTTAGTTAATTGGTAGTCTTTACCCACCACAGAAAAAACCCTCCCTGCCTCCCATCAGAATGGCTGGTTCCCAAATCTTTGGGAGTGCCTCGTTTTCATCTGCTTGGTCTCACGCTGTCCACTGACATGAGTTGGAATAATTACATTGAATCAATAGCTTTATCTACTGCAAGGAAAGTTGATTCTCTATGTCGTGCCAGAAAGCTTTTCTTGTCTGAGTCCATCCTTAAAATCTATAAATCAACCATACGACCTTGCATGGAATATTGCTGTCATATACGGACTGATGCTCCCGCTGTACGTCTCGAGGTCCTCAACAAAATCCAGAAACGAATATGCAAAATGATAGGTCCTGATCTGGCATCTCGTCTACAGTCGCATTCTCACAGACGTGCCGTGGCTTCCCTCTGTCTCTTCTACAAGTATTTTCACGGCAACTGTTTCGCTGGTTCCCAGACTGCATGAATTTAAGCGAGCTACCTGGCTGGCATCTCGGTCCTAACCTTTCACTGTCAAAACGATTAAATTTAACCGTCTCTTCTACTCAAACGGCTTCTTCTTTCGCACTTCCCGTATGTGGAACTCCCTTCCTCTTGCTTGCTTTCCCTGATAAATATAATCTTCAAATATTCAAGTGTAATATCAATCGACATCCGATCGCTTTATCTTGTTCACCGTTCTTCTCTGTATCCTTTCCTCAAACATGCCTCTTTACTCTTGTTCTCAATCCTCTGTAACCCCATGCGTACTAGTGGCACTCCCGCCTTGCTTGGAGTGAATTGCTTTAAAAAATATTTTAAGGAGATTGAATTAAAATTGCTGCAGTTTGTCAGTATGTGTTTTATAGTGAATTTCTCACATACCGAAGGATCTTCATTTTTTAGGATATCCGATTGAGATGAGTGTTAGAGAATATGAGAAAAACAAACATTATTAAGGAGAATGAACAAGAAGACAGTAGATATCGATTGACATTGCGTTTAAATTTTTGAAGATAAAAGTTGACCTGGGAAGCAAGAAAGCGGGAGAGAGTTCCACAAGTGAGAAGTGCGATAGAAGAAACTATTAGCATAGAACTTACGGTTATATCTATCAATTTCAATTGTAAAATGATGAGACCTTTCCGCCAATCTAGTACTGCGATTAAATTCATAAGAGTCTAGGTACCATAGAGGAAAGTAATATTTATTTTGTTTTAATACAAAAATGTGGCACAAGGCCAAAAATGAGGGATAGGTTAGGCCGGTTTTCAATCTGTCTTATTTTAAACTTAGCTAGCCACGATTACTGACTCAAACATATCACAGTATTCCTTACACCAAAACAACTCATTCTCTCTTACCATTCTTACTATAGCCACCATAATACCACAAAGTTTCTAATTAATCCTAACTCCCCATATGTACAATTTGTCTGTGGGGCGTAGAGAATAAAAATAACATTTAAAAATGAAACCCTCATAAATATTTACCATAGCGGAAAGTTCATCAAAGCAATTACCATGAAAGTATTTATAGAAAAAGCACAGGGAAGCTACGTTACGCTGGTGGGAACGTGACTGAAGCCGAGATAGTAATCTACTGATTAGTAAAGGTTTATAGGCTAGCTTACGAACCTCAAACTAGAAACTAACAAAATGCTATAACAAAACAATGAAGGACAATATTGTATTAAATCATGTTAGGTTGACAAGGATTTCTATTCTTTGGGAGGTGTGGGATGCCTTTTGTTTTTTTTGTTTTTTTCAGTGTGTTTATGCATTCGGTATTGATTGTATTTGAATGATGACGTATTTGTCTGAGGGTTTGTTAAAGACAGTGATTATATTATTATCCAGTCATACATTTTTTTGTCGAATTTCCTGATATTTCTACAACGGTTAGACTTGTTTGGGGTGGGATATTCTAGTACAAACAATGATTTTCTTTGCTTTTGTTTGTTTATTTTTATTAAATAGATTCATAGTAAATATATATAGGGGGTTTCCATTTCTAAAATTGTTATTAATAATTCCCTTCTTGTTGTTGTATATACTACGTCTTTTCAAGACATAGGCGATCACGGCTCTCCATAATTTCCTATCCCTTGTGGCATTTAACCTTTTTTTCTCTCTTTGCTAAGACTATTGTCTTTCGTTCCGTTGTTCATTCACACAAGCTTGTCAGGAAATTGGCTCACTGCCAAGTAATTTCTGCTGCCTTTTTCTGCTTTTATGTATAAGTGTCCTGTTTTGCCATTTTATTTAAGAATTCCTTGATTATTACTCGCTCCGTTCATGGTATTTTTCTGTAGAATCATGTTTCTGCTGCTTCTAGTTTTTTCCTCATCCGTGTGGAGATTGTCCAGCAGTCGCTGCTATATAAGAGGACGGATAATGCAAAACAATCCAGCACACTTTTCTTGGTTTCTAAAGAATTTTTTTTCCGTTTCTCATTACCTGGCTTAACTTTTGAAATGCTTTTTCCGCTAGTCCAATATGATTTCAGATTTTGGATATTACCGCTATAAAAAGTTGTATGTCTGTACTTAGGACTTAATGGGGAAAAAAAGTGGCATTATGATGAATATAGTGCAAATAAAAAGCGTAAATATGACGTGTTGGTTAAATAAATATTATCGACCCTTATTACGATCAGCTATGTGAAAGGATAAGACAGAAGCCACCGTTCTCTTCTTTTCCCTATATTTACGACTTGTGTCAAATTTAATTAAACATATTTTTTAATAATAAATAGTATTACATTTGGTGGCAGAGATTTCAGTTTTCACGCAAGTGTAGAATGCCTTTTGATTTCCAATGTTTCATATTGTTATTTTCTTAGAATACGACTATGATTGTGAGTCTGATTGATTGTTATTTTGTTCTACAGTTTTCGCTTAGTTTGTTATTATTTCTGTCACGATTAGAATAGAGAACGGCTTCTAATTCTAACTATAAGTTTTTTCTTGACTTCTTGTACATACACTACAGAGCAAAAGATTGTGGCAATCTTCTGAATTTCAAAGAACCGACTAAAAATTGAAGGAAGCTTTCCTTTTTCAAAGCTCATTCGCAGCTAGAGCTAAATGCAGACCTCGAATGTACATTTGGCACTTAGAAATGCTGCCAGCCACCGCAGACAATCGAACAGCGAATGTAACTTGCCTAAGGGAAGTACTACTCGCGGTCGGGAAGACTGTGGTTTACAAGCGAGAGACGAAGAATACTTGGGTCATCCTACGATATCCCGGTTTCCACCGCGTAAGGAAGTCAAAGACACGGGAAAGTATGGAATAAGAGGCCGGTTATGCTATCCACGGGGAAGTATAGAATAAGAGACCGGTTAATAAACAGACGGGGACGTATAAAAGAAAAAGTCGGTTACATTACCCACGAGGGACATATAAAATAAGAGGCCGTTTATGTTACCTATGTTTCCCGTATATAAGTTGCCGATGACGCTATCCACGGAGACGTATAGAATAAGAGGCCGTTACCCATGTAAACGTATAGGATAAACGGCTGGTGACGCTACCCACTTGGAGGGGGAGCGTATAGAAGAAGAGTCTTGTTATGCTACCCACAGGAATATATATATATATATATATAATAAGAAGTCAGTTACATGTCCACAGAAAAGCGGAAGCATGATACATCAGTTGACGGCCACTGATAGATAGACTTAGTATTCGTGGTGTGACGGCAATTGGCACCGTAGTTTGACTTCTCGCGGTCGAAGGATAAGCTTATCCTACTAGATCTCGGATTCCACTGGGTAAGAAAGAAGACGCGGGGACAACCATGTATAGGTGTCAGATTTTACTTTCGGTGTGAGCAGCGGCTGAGGTGTATTGTCGATGGCGGTCACGGATAGAAAATGCCCAATTTACATGACTCGTCGATATCCATGATTTACTACTTGCGAAGTAAGTGGCTCAGTGGTCTGCAGGCGAGAGACGAAGGATAAAGCAGTTCTTGCGCGATCAGTTTTTCCACCACGTAAGAAGGCAATGGCTTCGAGACGGATTACGGTTCACTCCGGTCGAAACTGCGACGGAGGCTTTACATTTTTGGCCTTACATGGTTATATCTAAATTTTTATTAATAATGAATAAAGTCCTTAAAATCTAAAGTTATAAAGCAGAAGGATGCGTTGATTGTGTAGCGGTTACCGAATAGAAAATGGAATCGGGCGAGTCCAGATCAAATCCAGCGTTAGTCTGTTACGCTTATTTTCACACAGCTGCTTTAGAAAAAAATCATGAATCCGTATTTCATCCCCCATTATGGATTAAATAGCAGAGTAAGTTGTAGCTTAATGTGGAAAGCAGTCTAAGAGAAGGAAAACTGAATTAAAAAAATGTCGGAATTCAACGGGAAAACATTCCAATATATTTCCTAAGAGGTGATGATAATTAACAGATAATAATGCAAAGATATATGTGAACATTCATGATCGTCTACGTCCTGAAGGGGATTGATATTTGATGGATACAATCTGTTTGGAATGACTGCTAAAAACCTCTTTCACTCCATATTTCTAAACAAATCCTACAGATGCATGATGGGATCTCTTCCTAAACAATAAAAAAAAATGAACAATATTAGACCCATTTGATTTTTATATACTGATTGATTCGTTTTCAACGGTTTATGAACCTTTTGAAAGTTATTTAAAGCCAAGAATTACTTAAAATTATGAGATTTTGTTTTTGAGATAATAATGGTTTTAGTGATACAAGTCTTAGTAATTAACCCATAGATGGGGTATTTGCGTATAAGTGAATATAATTAACCCAACGGGAGTTGGAACTCGGCTCTCCGATTAACAATTCCGAGTTATTGCCAATTACAGCACCCGCACATCCAAGATTACAGCACCTGGTATTCCCAAGCGGTCACCCATCTAGGTACTGACTAAGGTCAACGTAACTTAACTTCAGTAATCGTACGGGAATCGGAGCTTCAACGAGATGTGGCCGTAAAGCCGCAGGTTTTTTTTTCTTTCTTACCTTGAAGTCAAATCTATAACTACTTGACTGTATCCCTTTTGCGTATAAATACTATTCCTACTTTGGGAACCTTATGCTTTCTGACTGTCTTAGATTTGCTTTTCTTTTGACTTGTATTATATATATATATATATATATATATATATACAAATGTTTGGAGGTACAAAATTTATAAATAGTTTTAAAAACAAGGAAACCATTGATTTTAATTTTAAAAGTCTCTAGGGCCCTTTCAGCCAACATCTCATCAGGAGACAAACGTTGGATTAGCGAAATGAATAATAGCGATATTGAAGAGCAAAAAAGAGGGGGAAACACACTAAAATAACGAACAAGTATATATACTTGTAACGAGGGAAGGGATCGTGTAAATAAATTAATTAGCGAGGGACAGTTAAAATAAAATATCCCCCAACAGATTCAGAGACCTTATAAATTCTTTCTGCCGGCAGAGAGAAGGTTTCCTTAATCCTATACAGACCGATTCCAAAATCTTCAAATGATTATTGGAATCGGCTGTATGAATAATTCTAAACCACTCTTTTTTATACAACTTGGCACAAGCTATATTCTCAACTAAATGTTGAGCAATAGCCGATTCTATATTCATGGCGGGAAGATAGGATATTCTATCTATCTTACCAAGTCGTATTTTGGAAGGTACGTGCTGATTAATTCTAGTTTCCAAATGCAAGGTTGTACGCCCCACATAACCAGCAGCACACTGGCAATTAAATTAATATACTAAATTACTCAATTTGATGTAGGGCAATACATCCTTGCGAAAAGACGGAAACACAGACCTATATATATATATATATATATATATATATATATATATATATTACATTGTCTCGTATTATTTTCATCTGTTCTTTTTTCTTTCTCTTCTTATTGTTTATTGAGAGTTTTGTCAATTATGCTTAACCTTGGCCAATTATTCTAGATAAAAAGTGAAAACAGCAAAGCATAAAACATTCGGTGGTATTATAAAAGAAAGTAAAATATTTACCGATAGAATACGAATTAAACAGTAAACAAGGCGGCTAAGGCTAAAAATATATTCGAAAAGATATCATCCAAGCCAAATTTGAATTTCCCATCTCGAAATAAATGACCGTTCTGAATGAAATAACAAACAATTGTAAGAACACTATTTTTTTTTCAGACCGATTTTATCTCTTGCGTTCCCGATGCAATGGAGTGAATACATTTTTTTTTTAGATATCTAATTTCAGTTGTCGGCAGGATTTGAAATTCAATTTCTAAAAAAAATAAAAGCCAAACAATAGAAAATATTTATATCCTTCGCATTAGGTTTATTTTCTGGAAAATCTCGAAGCTGGACCCGTGAATACAATTACACTTCTTCCTTCGTAAGATTTCGAGTTAGCAATCGAATTTGCAGACAACCAATATTTACTGAGAATGGGACCTCTTTTATACTGATATGCCAGTGTTCATGTAACGTAACGTCTATCAGCGTGGAAAGTGGAATCAGTCGATTTCGAATTTGTCTGTTGCGTTCACTTTCGCACTGAAACTCTTGGGAAAGGCATAAATCCATTAGTCCCGATGGGATTTTGTCACTGCTCACCTGTACACCCGACCAGTTCCCTCCACATTGTAAAGCTGGAAAGGTATTCACTCATGCGTAGCTTGTTTTGGGGCAAGTAGATAAAGTCAAACCACAGCCAGTGTCCTCCAATTTGAAGATTCACGGTAACCCGGCCATTGATTCCAACACGGAAATGGCCGTTGATTCAGTCTTGGAAAAGAAGCGATAGCGTGAAATCACTGTATTGTCTACATACATTGCTACAGAAAGCCGTCTACCCCATTGTGAAGAGGACTGGTATTTGCTGGATACAATCTATTTGATATAACTGCTAAAAACTTCTTTCAACCCATATTTATAGACAAATGTGACAGATGTATGATGGGATTTCTTGTAGTGTCAACGTCCTAGTTGGACGTTGACACTACAAGAAAGTTAATTCACCTTTTGACGTTTTTTTTAAATCCTGTTGGATGTCTATCTACGCTCCTTATCAGAAAAAGAAACCTGGTGGGGGAACCAGTTCAGTTATCGATGACGCATCCATGCGTATAGTAGCACATGGCTTCATGGTATTAGTAACTGTCGTAAAGTGACCTGACATAAATTCTCCCTTGCTTATAACGAAGAAGAGTAGAAGACCCATGTAGCCTTATTAGTCTAAGAGAGGGATTAGTAAGAATTTAAAAAAAAAAAGAACGAAATATGGAGAAGATAACGGGAAACTACTCCACTATCTTTCCTAAGTAGTAATGACGGTTCAAAAAAGGAATCTGTAGAGAGTTATGCTTGCCTATGGTGATTTCCTAAGCATGGCTTAAATGTGGCACAAGGCCTTAAATATAACTGCTTATGCCTTGAAAGGACATGGTTATTAAAAACAGTTGCCGCAACCACAACCCATATCACATAAACTAAAAATACTACATTGTACCTATCAACTCCTGCTTACCTTTCAATTACATATCAAAATTTTCAAGTTATTTTTTTAAAATGGCGATTTTAAAATGGCGATCTGACACGTTAAGGGGATCTGTAATTTTAACCTTGCATCTCGACTTTAGTCACAATCTCACTGACGTGACGTGGTTTCTTTTCTACACATATTTTCATCACAGCTGCTCTGATGAGCTTTTTTACCCTGGTGACCCGTCTACATTAATTTAAGCGTGCAACTAGATTGGCCTCTAGCTGCCACCCTTTTAATATTGAAATCTCTAAATGCAACCGCCACTTCCACACCAACAGTTTTTCTCTAGCACTTCCTGCTGTTTACTTACTTCCCTGATAACTACAATCTAAAAGTTTAAATGCAACGTCAATCGTCATCTTCTGTCATCTTGAATCCATTTAATAGTTTCTCCTTAGCTCAATGCTCCCTTAACTCAGTCTTTTCTCTCACTTTTACTCCCTGTAACACCCTGCGTAAAAGCGGCATTCCCGCCTTATTTGGGGTGAAATGATTAAAAAGAAATATTATGTTACTGTCGTCTGATAAGAATGTGAAACTAAATATTTCATAAATTCCGCCAAATTAAAGTCAGCGAAATCGATTGCATGTAGTTTTGGGTTATTCTTCTAATGTCCGATTTTCACCTTTGAGATGGCCTGGGGGACTATCCTACTTACCTCGTAGGCTGGTCGTTTATATAACTCCTTGTTATCCAGTTGTCTTGTGGGTGTATATACTAAGTTCAATTCTTTGTTTATTTTGGTGCACGCAACTACATACTTCGAGGCCCGATTTCACAATTGGTGGCTTTGAGGACACCTTTCAGACCAGTCTAGATTTTTTGAATTTTGTGGGTGATACCAAGTACAAAACTTAATTTCATATCTCTTATGTTGAACCCAATACATACTGGGGACACCACAGATCAACTCTTCTTATATCAAAGGTTCCTGATATTTGCTGCAGTGAATCACACACTACATGTTGTATTTAGGGATGAAATTCAATTATTCGTACTTACCATTGGGTTGTGGATTGAGGTTTTCTAGATATTTCCTTAGCTTACAATAGCCTGGAATAACGACACAGTAGAGGGGCGTTTGGTGAATAACTCGCTAAATTAGGAAATTAGTAATCGTTACCAGAGGTGTCAGCCTGGAATTGAGGCTCAAATCAAAAACACCTTCAATACAGGGAGTAGCAGAGTCACATCCAGAAGATTAACTCATCATTCTCCCAAGCGAAAGAAGAAGACAGGACAGCAGACAGAGTGTCTTACCTCGTGACGAAGCTAATCGAACCCTGGGGAAGTGGCGACGTGCCATAATCCGATCAGTCAGTTTCGGACTGATAGCAGATGACGGGTGTTGTGTAGATCCCATGAGGCTGTGGACCTCAGTTGCCAACAAGGGGTCGTGTAGGCTGGTGTCGGTTCCATAAGCTTACAGGCATGGATTGTTTCAGTCGGTTAGCATAAACACGTCATTGACAAATGCTATAAACACCGCGACACATCCGAGCTGTACGTCTCATCAAAATACCACGATAGGGTTATACCATCAGATTATTCCTGTCGACACGTCAACAGTCTTTTAAAGTAAGTACTAATAGTAATATCAGCTTATTTTTTTTTTAATTTCAAAACATTTTAAACACTAATAAAATCAATGATACTTGAACACCGACTAAAATCACTAGGATTTAAAAAAAAATGTTTTTTAATCATTTCACCTCGAGCAAGGCAATAAAGCCACTAAGACGCAAGGCATTATTGATTGTTAGAGAATACGAAAAATAAAAACACTATTAGGGAAAGAGAACAATAAAAGAACAAAAATTAAGAAGACAGTAGATAATGATTGATATTGCGTTTAAATTTTTGAAGATCACAGGTGAATAGGAGGCAAGAAGCCGGAAGCGAGTTCCATAAGCAAGAAGTGTGAATGAAGAAACTGTTAACATAGAACTTACGGTTAGATCTAGCCATTACAACTATGACGAGACCGTGCCGCCAATGTAGCACTACGCTTAGTCTTGATAACATAGAGGAGAGTTAATAATTTGTGGAAAGGATACCGCATCGAATTGGCCCTTTTCCATGGTCTATAGATTATCGTACACGATGTTAGCACCCAACCAATGACTTTTGGTAAGTTAGAGTATAGACTAATCAGCAGTTAAGGGCGATAAATCAACGCTGTTGAAGATGATAGAAAATAGATTTGTGAGAAGAGCTTATTAAGTTTCACTATAACAGTCTAGCTGTTCAGAGAACAAAATGGCTTTTTCTGGCACCAGACCTAAGTAGTGTAAGTCTTTATCTATCGTGAAATATTAACTAATATCTATTATGCGGTTCTAATTATAAAGATTTAACACCAGTCTTGGCTGTTTGTATTTTATTGAAGTAGCAGGCTGTGTATAGCTTCATCTTCCTAATCTATATTTACGTGTTTCCTTTTCATCAAACTTATCAGATTAAAATGGATGCCTTTTTCGTGTTTCCTTTTCTCTTCGAAATATTATGATTATGACATGCTAAAGATAGTAACGATGGCATATCGTGGGTGATAAACGCGCAATTTCTGGTCCGTTTTTGATAAAAACTAATACTCGTGAAATTGAAGGAGTAATAGTAGAATGGAAAAGCGAGAAAATTAATTTAAAGGGAAGGAAATAAACAAAAATTAGAATGTTGGAGAAAAAGTGAAAGAGGAAGAAGAAGAAGAAAAAGGAATGAGTGCGAGAGTAGAATTAAAAAAAAAGAAACAATAAAACAAAAACGAGGAGAAAGAAAGGGAAAGAAGAAGAAGAAGAGGGAGAAGGAGAAAGAAAGCAAAAAAAAAAGAGATAACAATAGGAAGGGTAAATAAGAAAGAGAAGATATTCAACAATTGAAAAACTTAAATAAGAATAGAACAAAGGAGAAATAAAAAAAGGAGCATGGGTAAAGATAGATAGATAGATAGATAGATAGATAACCAACAGACTGAAAGAAAGAAAGAAAGAAAGAAAGAAAGAAAGAAAGAAAGAACAGTTTTCGTCTACTGTCAAGAATTAATGATATACTGAGAACTGTGGGAAAAAAACACCGTGAAAATTAGTGTAAAAAGTGGGGTAGAAATGTAAGGTTGTTATTTGGCTGCAAAATGTCAGCTTAGATTTTAGCAAAAAAATACGAGTAACTCTCTCTTTTTCAGGTTACATTTCCTTCATTTTTTTCTTTCATTCTTTCTTCCTTTCTTGCTATCACTCGCTGAGTTTTGTGTTTGTGTCCATATTTTATAGGAATTAACCCAATTTGAACGAGAAACGTAGATTTTAACTAGAGGACACACACACACTCGCGCGAATATGTACAGATAGATAGATAGATAGATAGATAGATAGATAGATAGATAGATAGATAGATAGATATGAAGAGAATGATATATGTGTACATGTGTGTGTGTGAAGAGAATGAGATAGATAATGAACAGAATGAGATAGATAAATAAATATGAAGAGAATGAGAGATATGTAGAGAATGATGTGTGTGTGAAGAGAATGAGATAGATAATGGGCAGGATTATATAGATATGAACAATGATTTTATATATATATATATATATATATATATATATATATATATATATATATATGTATATGTATATATATGTGTGTGTGTGTATGTGTGTATGTATGTGTGTGTGAAGAGAATGAGATAGATAATGAACAGGATTAGATAGATATGAACAATGATTTTATATATATATATGTGTGTGTGTGTGTGTGTGCGTGCGTTTTGTAGAGAATATCATTGTGGGATTATGGTTACAGAACACGAAGCACAGTTTATGCTGATATGGGTAGAAGTTAACGGTTGACCCAAAACTTGAACACCTTAAGATTGCAGTGATCGGAAAGCATCCTCTTGGGAGTCGATGCCACAAAGCATCGATTCGTAGGAAGTAAAATATTCGAGTGGAACTTACACAAAAATAGATACATATAACTTTTGTTGCTTACGTATATTTTGAAATTATTAATCACCAGCTTTTGTTTCTGTGTCTAACTTGTTTATATCAAGAAACGCTCTAATTCCGATTTTGATCAATAATTTTACACACACACGCACCCCCCATATATATATATATATATATATATATATATATATATATATATATATATATATATATATAAGCACGTTTTATTAAATTAAACCGATAACCGTCTACGTTTCATTTTTATAATATTTTTCCGAATAAATGTAGAGATCAAAATTGGGGATAAACTGTCCAAAGTTCATGTTTGTTCTCTTATTTTGAAGTACTGCAAAAGGGGTTGTTAGGTTCGTTTATCGTCCGGTTCACGTTCCTCCCAACTCTTTTGAACATGAGAACAGAAATGTTATATGCGGGGTGCGATGGATAATTTGTCGTCTAAATTACGCAAAAATGAAAACAATACTGACATCTCATTTTAACAGATATATTTACCAAAATTACACAAAAATATCTTGAAATGCTAAAGAGTAAATTTATTCAATAGAATCACCATTGGCTTCAACCATGGCCTCCAGAAGACTTTGCAATCTTTTGCACCTCTTCTTGACAGTCAGAGGTTGGTGAATGCTGCCATAATCCTTGCATTCAGTTCATCTTTGGTGTTACAAGGAGTTTTGTTAAACTCTCGCTCAACTCCACCGCACACGTAATAATCAAGGTTGTTGCAGTCTGGGAGTTAGGTGGCTAGATATAAGGGGTTATGTGGTCGCAGAAATTGTCTGGCAGCCATGACTGGATTCCCGCGCATTTGTGGAATGCGGCTGAATCCTGTTACCAGTCATAGAGTCTTCCAGCAACCACCCACTAGACGCAGGACAGCACTGTTTCCTAAAGACACTTGATGTAGGCCTCCGTCTGAGACCCTGTGGGAAGATGAATGGAGATATAACGTTGCAGTAAACTAGTGATCACTCCAAACACCATGATGTTGACGGGATATATCATCCAACTCTTTCCGAATCCTCTGCAATGTTCTCAGATTGACAACCAAACACTCTGAAATGTTCATACTGAAGCTTCCGGCGCGAAGGCCAAGCAGTACAGCATGCCGTTTCCAAATTTCTGTCAGGGTGAATTGCGTTATGATGCTCTTTTTCTCACAGACTTTTCCCAACTGACGCTACCATACTGCCCGGGCATCAAATCAAAAACAAAGAACGCACATGCGCGAAATTAAAATATTAAATGTCGACAGTTTACCCATCGCATCCTGAATATATTTGAGAAGATATACTGATTATGAATAATATTTTTCCAACATAATATCCTTCCTCATGAATAGACTTGATACAACGGTGAAAAATTACCCGATAGATAGAAAATTTGGCAAGGAAGCTTTCGCACTGAGTAATTCTACAAAACATGATTCACTTTAAATAGCTGATCACTTGATTTTTAGTTTAGCTCTCTTCATAGAGAAATCAGATTTTCATTTTAATCCCACTACTGGATTGGCGGTAAGGTCTCATCATTTTACATTTGAAATAGCTGGGCGTAACCGTAAGTGTTAAATAAGATTCTAGGTGACTATTATTTTTTTAGAGAATTGTATTTCTCCTCTGACTTTCTCATTTTGACCTTTGAGCTCAGACACAGGAAAAAAAATAAAAGGAAATCGTTTAAAATCGTGTCTGGAAACTTTTCCTCAGTGGGGTGGGATAGCAATCTCACTGACTAGTTAGTAATGTACGCGTCGACATGTTTAATAAAGTAGTAAGTTAAAATTCACTTTATTGATCTCTTCTTTTAAGTCCGAACTAAAACCAAAACCAAAAAAATAACAAAAAAAAACAAACCAAAAAACAAAATAACAGTTATCAGCGGCCGGGAGAAGATGAGAGAAAAAAGAGAGAAAGAAGACATCTTTATTGTTGTCGCGTCGACTTCATCAACCAAGACCAACGTCAGAAGATGAGGCAATGCAACATAATTTCTATGCTAAAAGTTTCTTCTGTTGCACTTCTCACTTTCCCTTCAAGTGCAGAATGCGATTTTCAATCATTATATCACTTTCATATTATTATAAATGGATAAGCTATGCACGCACATACATATACTCACACACTCTTCTCCCGCTGGAGTTTTCTGGTTATTCAGGAACATAAAGCAATAATGAGAATAAATATTGTACTATTTCCATTTCCTAGGTTAAGGTAAAAAATATACCCTGATGTTATGTGTCCTATTTTCCTTGTGAATGATGTGAATACTTATTTCTCGACGTAAGTAAAGAATCTGATGGTTAAGATATTGCTGTACCCTTAAAGAGGTTACAAACAGACAAAGGTGGTACCCGAGTGAAGGAACAGCAACACGCGTGTAGATGAAAGAAAAGTGATTTATTGTTAAAGAGAATACACTACTGAAAGACAGGGAATCGGGCGACAGGCTAGTAATTCCCGAAGTAAGGTTATTTAACATACCCTCCCCCGCAAGGCAGGATGTGGCACAAGGCCGTTTTTTAATGCGCGGAAAAACCGAGCCTGTAGGCTCGGGCAAAAATTTCCCGTAGACCCTGTATAAACGGGTTGGGTAGCTGTCTACCACCCCAGACGAGACTCTACCCTTCGGCAGAGCCTCGTCTGGGTTCCTCTCCGCCCGAAGGCAGAGAGTTCGACCAGCACAGCTGGAGATGAATCTCCAACTAATTGCCGAAGCAAGGATATTTGTCAACCGGCCCACGCGGTCAGATGTGACACAAGGCAGAATTTAACGTGGGGTATCCGAGCCTGTGGGGTATCCGAGCCCGTAGGCTTAGGCAAAAATTCACCGTAGACTCCGTAAAAAAAACGGGGCCGGGTAGCTGTCTACCACCCAAGACGAGACTCTACTCTTTGGCATAGCCTCGTCTGGGTTCCTCTCCGCCCGTAGGCAGAGATTTCGATCAGCTCAGCTGGAGACGAATATGCAACTAATTGCCGAAGCAAGCCCCCAGGTATATCCTGTGCTCACTATATATAGCTACTGATATTGTCACTCCACATAGACGATATGGAGTGTGGGGCATTCCATTACAACAGATATCTACAAGTTAGTCTCCAGTGAAGGTGGGTGGTTATGGGACCCAAGGTTTCAAATTCTGGCTTTTAAAAAATTAAAACAATCTTGCATCATAATTCATTACATTCATGTACTTATAAGATCTGAGTTATCCACGTGTTGAAATTGCTTCGACGGAGATTCTAATAGTAACGATTATTCCGAGTAACGTTTTTTTTTATTAGCATTTACACAATAAAGTCTCGAGAGCTACTAAAGTTACAGGGTTTCAGAATAAGGTGTGTGATAAAAAAGTTAGAAAATGAAGATTATGAGGATAAGGTGGATAGAAATTGAATGACCCTTGAATTGCTTAAATTTGCAGTGTTTAGAGAAATAACCACAGGAGAGTCAGACCCACGAGGCGGAAGTTCTTTTTGTGGTGGGGGAGCTGTCGGCATGGACTCCCTCTTTAAAATTTGAATATGTGGGAAATGAAGGTAATTAGACTACGTGAATGTAGTACGCTGTTCTTTAGATGAATAGACCGTAAGTGGTGGTACTAATGAATGGAGCACATCTGAACATTTGCCATGGCAATAGCGATTGCAATATCAAGTCTGTGGGAAAGACGTTGCCAAGTAGAAAATGTTATTCCCAACAAGACCCCGTGAACTCTGTCAAGCCTGGAAAGAGAATGTAAGTCAGATATGGCAGGAATACTCCATTTTTGATCTAACTCTTGAAACGATAACAGATAGCCAAAAGAGTCAGGTTCCTTCTGACGCGGTAAAATTGCAATGGTGAGATTAACCGTTTTCATACAGGAAACAATCGGCATTCATTGACGGAACAGTTAGCGTCATTGTCATTTGAAATTTATTAAATATTTCTCTTTAAAAACTTTCAGGAAAATAGTTTTTCCGTTATCTCTCTTGCTAGTACTTATTGGAGTTTCTTTCCTAACGTTTTGTTTAAGGTAGTGTGGAAAATCAATATATTGAATATGATCATAATTTTTCCTATTAGATACATATTAATTGTTGCTGCCTTTGGAAATGATGTGGTTTTTGCTATTTGGTATTTGTGATTTCATAGCCCAAGTCGATACGATCCCGTGAAGGATTACCTTCTTTATGAGCTACACATTTCATTCACCTGCAGCCATCTTTAATCATTGCTCTGAAGAAAAAAATGGTTGTCTACAGCTGATAATTTAGGTATTTGCGCCCCCTAATCGGATACCATGCATGACATTCAGATAAGAGACGAGATTTGATGACGATATTCAACGACAAATCTCGAGTTCTGTGATTAATAGCTTGGTTTTGTAGCATCTTATAGTGTTGGACAAAACTACTTCTAGCCTTGCCTAGTATACCCTATGTTCAATTTCCTCACCTCTTAGAGTAAATTT